CAGGACAAGATCTGATCTTGTATTTTACCATTTTACAGATGTACAGAATCCTGATTGGACTCCGTAGATAGTTCACTGCTATCGTTACGCCATGTACGTCTTCAGTAAGTTGGCATAGAGTTTCTAGAGAGAAATCGTTGTGCTCTGAAGTGTACAGTATATGTATTAATACTGTGCAATGTACAGTTCAAACCTGCAAAACAGGGCAATTTGATTAACATTCACAGGTCAATTCGCCGTATGCACTTTACCACATCGCTATAATCATGGAAAGAACGAAGTATTGATAGTCTGTTGTGATATGAAATGATTTGTTTGTTGTGTCTTTAATTTACAGTGTACTGTACATGCTCAGCATGATTCAACAAACCGTTGCCACAATTTGTTGGGAGCCAAACAATTTGCGCGATACCAACAGATCCGGCACTCTATTCCACACGTTTAAAATGCAGAGTCATCCAGCGCAAGCCAGTCATAACCGATTTGCTCAGTCGGTAGTTAAGAACGCCATTCCGCACGCGCTAAGATGCCAGTAGGACTACATACCTTCATATTCGCTCTCTTCGTAACTGTCAATATTGCGACAAGCGAATCCATCCAGACCTGTGAGACGCTAGCGGAATGCCTACATCAACCATTGAATAATGCCCCATCGGTGCGCCTCCACATCATGCTCAAGGGAAAGAATATGCAGATCCACGGACAATCTGTCTTCGACGTATTCGCCAGACCAGGCATGACCTCTGACCTAACAAGCGTTCGCTACGACGGATTCACCACATTTATCCAGGGAGATTCAAAGTTTACGTATATGGTTGTTGATGGCTCCGCATACGTCGTGGAGAGTACGGGAAATGACAGCATGTCTGTCACCACACAAACCGTGAAATGCCTGTCTTCAATCACACCGTTCGACTCCATCGTTGATGCACTCAACAATCTCACGGCCGTTTCGAGTGAGTATATCATCAATAGCAGCGAGGTGGACTGTCCTAGTGGAAGTCTATACGAGGCGTCATTTGGTGGCACACACTTTATTGTATGCGCGCTTGGAGCGGATGGTTTCATCGCCTATGGGAGGGAAATTACGATGGCGACAGAGTACTTAGATAGCCCGCTGAGCAGAATTTCTGCTCCGAAGTTAACTGACGGCGCTGAATCATGTGCAGATGTGGTAAATCCAACATCATTATCTCCAACTACGTTAGCTTTGCTGACAGGTAAGGAAGCTTCGCCGACTTGCAACACTCTTGAAAAATGTTAGGCTTTAGCGTGCGGCAGTAAAAGAGCAAGAGAGTTTTATGCGTCTAACATAAACATTTCAGTAACCCATGCAAAGCTACACTATCACGACTCTAAACGGTAAGAGGCTTCTATTTCATTCTTAGCTTGATAACCTGTATTTCAATGTTCATAGAAGACACTTGAACCACTAGAATGGTTTGTGCGAGGATTGAAAGAGACTATCATGGGTCAGAAACGCCGTATCTGTGCGATTCAACTCCGGCCTGTAGAACTTATACTCATAGATGTCTACGAACCGGTTTGGATCGAGCCACCAAGCTGCTGTGGAACTTCACTAGACCATCGTTTTATGATGCTGTGTGTGGTATCAGTGTGTCTCCAACAATGCATGAAACGTAGAATTTTTAGATAACGCCGTCGTAGTAACCGCTGCACTTGGCTGCATCCACACTTAAGCGATAAGCTACTGGAGCTTGTTTTGTATACTGCATCTAGAGCTGTGTTTCTGTATTCTTCACCTTCGTAAGAGTACCAGCAGAATCAGGGCATGGCCGACACATTGCAGTAACGGTGCTGCAATTGTACTGGCATCATCGTTACACGATTCTCGGATAGAATCTCTAGCAACATTACCTTTCATCGGTGCGCTAAAACCCACCCATGTCGTAGTCTCAGTTAGTTTACATTTCCCAGCAGCGAGAGCATTCGCCACAACCAGCCCACGTTGTGGGCTTGGAAGAAAAAAACCCCGGATATATTGCATAATTGTAATTACTGTATAGCCACAATATTGATATTGCACTTTTGAACTCTTATGTTGTCCGTCGCTGTTTCCGCTGAAATTCCCCG